TTTTACAAGTCACCAGCCAGTTCACCCAGCACCATTTATTAAATAGGGAGTCTTTCCCTCACTGAATGTTTTTGATAGGCTTATCAAAAATCAAATGACAATAAGCGGCAGGGTTTATCTCTTGGTTGTCTATTCTGTTCCATAAATCTACCTCTCTGTTTTTGTGCCAGTTCCCTGCTGTTTTGATCACTATTTATAGATTTATAGTATAGCCTGAAATCTGGTAATATGATACCTCCTTATTTGTTTTGATTTCTGAGCAATTTATTGGCTATTCGAAGCTTTTTTTGATTCCATATAAAACAAATTTCCACTATTTCTTCAAGCTCTTGAAAGTATGACAGTGGTACTTTAATAGGGATTGCATTAAATCTGTAGATTGCTTTGGGTAGTACAGACATTTTAAAAATGTTGATTTTTCCCAGCCATGAGCATGGTATGTTTTTCCATTTGTTAACATCTTCAACTATTTCTTTTCTCAGAGTTTCATAATCCTTTTTATGGAAATCTTTCATATCCTTGGTTAGGTAAATTCCCAGATATTTCATCTTCTTTGGGACTATTGTACAAGGAATAGAGTTCTTGACTGTATTTTCTGCTTGACTATTGTTGGCATATATAAAAGCTTCTAATTTGTAAATACTGATTTTCTATCCTGAGACGCTGCTATATTCTTTGATCACTTCTAAGAATTTTGTAGTTGAGGTCCTGGGATTTTCCAAGTATAGGATCATATCATCTGCGAAGAGTGAGAGCTTGATCTCCTCTGACTCCATTTGTATACCCTGATTGCCTTCTCTTGCCTGATTGTGATGGCTAAGATTTCCATTACTATGTTGAATAGCAGTGGAGACAGTGAGCATCCTTGCCTCGTTCCTGATCTGAGTGGAATTTTACTCCATTCAATATGATATTGATTATGAAACTATAAAAATACTAGAAGAGAATGCAGGAAAAACACTTGAAGAAATAGGATTGGGAGAATTTTTTGTGAGGAGGACTCCCCAGGCAATTGAAGCAATACCAAAAATATATTACTGGGATCTGATTAAACTAAAAATTTTCTACACAGCCAAGAGCACAGTAAGTAAAGCAAATAGCAACCTTCAGAAGGGAAGAAGATATTTATAGGTTATGCTTCCAACAAAGATCTAATAACTGGAATCCACAGACAACTCAAACTAATCAATAAGAACAAATCACCCCATTTCTAAGTGGGCAAGAAACTTCACCAAAGAAAACAGGCACATGGCCTACAAACACATGAAAAAAATGCTCATCATATTTAATCACCAGAGAAATGCAAATCAAAGCCACTTTGAGATATCATCTAATTCCAGTTGGCATGGATGAGGAGAAAAGGGAACTCTTCTACACTGCTGGTGGGAATGCAAACTAATGTGGCCTTTTCAGGAGAATACTCAAGGAACTAAAAGTAGACCTACTGTTCAATCCTGCAATTCCTCTACTAGGTATATGCTCAGATGATCAAAAATCATTTTACAACAAAGACATTTGCACAAGAATATTTATTGCAGCCCAATTCATAATTGCCAAGACATGGAAACAGACCAACTGCCCATCAACCCATGAATGGATTAACAAATTGTGGTATATGCATACCATGAAATACTATGCAGCCATAAAAGAAGGTGGACACTTCACATCTTTTATGTTTACCCTGATGGAGCTCGAATATATTCTTCTTAGTAAAGTATCTCAAGAATGGGGAAAAAAAGCATGCAATGTACTCAATACTACTATGAAATCAATATATAATCACCTACACATTCCTATGAATAGTAAGACATAACTATAGTCCAGAAAGTAGGGGGGAAGACGAGGGAAAGTGCAGGAGAGGAGGAAGCTAGGAGGCAGGGTTTTGAGGGGGACTCACCTAATGTGCCTAATATAATGGTACATTTCAAAACTATTAAGAAAAGAGTATAATTATCTTACCACAACACATAAGGAAGCGAGGTGATAGATGTGTTAATCAGTTTGATGTATTTCACATTGTATATCAAATCAGTACACTGTACCCCATAAATGCATCAATGTACACAGTTACGATTTAATAAAGAAAAAAATGTGTTAAAAATATAAAATAAATTTAAGAAAAAAAGAGAGATTCTGTCTCAAAAAAAAAAAAAAAAGAGGTGGAGATAGCAGATTTCCCTCTGTGTGTACAAACCAAGGAAGGAAAGACCACAAAAGGACACAACCAGCAAGAGAGCCCTCACCAAGAACCTGACCGTGTGGACACCCTGATCTCACACTTCCCACCTCAGAACCCTGAGAAATAAACACTAGTCAGTGGTAATTTGTTAGAAGACTCCAAACTATGACAACGATTAACACCACTTCAACAAAATAATCCTTATTATACATCCTAAAATTACCTCTTATGAGTTTTAAGAGGTACCCCTTTTTTTCTAGTGATCTAGGATTTCATAGAAAAATTCAACATTTATCCTATCCAAACCCTTTATGAAAAGACTCCTTCAGCCCCCCATTGGTCCCACTTAGTCTTTTCTGATTGCAAGTTCTTTCATAAAATGAAGTACTCTTTCACATATCACTAATTTTTTCATTTTTATATACAATATACTAGTGATGGATGAACTTTAGTATGGTATTTCCAATACTCTTCCCAGTATGGATAAGCCATGTATTTACTGACCTCTGTAGCTATAAGAGGTCCCTGAGGTAAAGTCTTTAAAGCCTCTGTGCTTTTGACCCTCAGTCACTTGCTGTCTACTGCCAGTGCCCTCTGTCAGTAATTCCTCCTCATGGCAAGTGAACATCCATCTTCTAGCTGCTGTACCCTCATCTTCTCTATTTGACTTCCCAGATATCCTACTTTGGCTGACTCCCTAGATGCCAGACCACCTAACACACTTCTGATCACAGATTACTCCCCTGTGAGCTGACCTCCAAGTCCACCCACTTTGACACATTTGAGGTCCTTACCCTATGGATCCAAGACCAGAATGGATCCTGTACACTGCACTCTCCTCTGCCCAGTGGTCCACGTTCTCCAAATTCTGTCAGGTTAGGTACCACATCAATAACTGACAGGAATCTTGGTAGAATAAAAACTGGTTTCCATCTTTTAAAATGTCCTACCTAATATATTTTTAATAAAGCCCATAGAATTTTAATCCAAGGAGATGAACAAAAATAGATCAAAGTCTACATTGAAATGAAAGACAATAATGAGAAAAGAGAGAACCAGACAGAAATCAAGGGTCACAGAGATGGACAAAGGAGGAAATGAAAGAGACAACGAGGCAAGGAAAAAGTGAGAAAAGAGACAGAGAAGAAGAAAAACAGGAAACCAAAAATGAATGCTGACAGAGGCAGAGACGTGAAGAAATTGAGACATGAGCCAGAGGTGAGGAGAAAGAAAACCAGGCAGAGGCAGAGAAATAAAGGAAAGGAGATTCAGGTTCCTTGGTCAGAGAAGGGAAGGCAGAGGACTCCACCCACTCTTATTCCTATCTCCCTTCCCACTCTTATTCATCTCTCCTGAAGAAAAACAAAAAAACCCAAAATCTCATCACCCAAATACTAAATATAAATCATATCTACTCTGCTGTAGTGAAAATTAGTGATGATTGGGGTTGACCAGTTTGATGAAAACATTTCAAATTGTGTATAAGGCCAGCACATTGTACCCCATGATTGCATTAATGTACACAGCTATGATATAATAATAATAATAAAAGCATGAAAGCTATTAGCACACACACAAAAAAAAGGCTAGTGCCTCCCCAGCACCCGCTTGTCAGTTTTTACTTCCTCTCTCAAATTGATTATCCAAGCTGAAATTGAATAAGAAATTGAACAAGAGCAAGAAGTTGAACCTCCTAAGGTAAAGGCTTCTGAAGCAGGAGGAGGAGCCTGGCCAGCTCTATGCCAGCCTTCTTCCTCTTGAGCCTCGAAGACATCCTCTGAGGAGCACGCCAGCTCTTCCTCCTTGTCCTTGCTCAGAATATTCTCCACCCTCTCTGAGAAAATGCCCCCATTCTTTCAAGTTCCAATTTTTTCAGGGACAGAGCTGGGTCTGGCTCTGTGCTTTGGGCATGCAGCATAGAGCCGGGTACGCAAATGTCATCAGTATTTAAGGAATAAATGTACACTGGTTCCAGACATATTTGTATATACACACATATACATGACACATATTTAGTATTCATGCGTATACAAACAAGTCCTCTCTAAATGTATTCTCCCTCCAGTGTTCTCAACCTCACTGGTGTTAGCACCATCCAACTGCTCACCCCAGCTAAAAACTTTCTATCAAGGCCTGTGGATCTTTGTCTTTTAAAAGTCTCCTACTTTATCTCCCATGCTATTTGCACACCAAAAGAAAAATGAAACACTCCTCAGTGGGTATCCTCATACTTTTCCCTCACATTGAATTTGCCAATAACCTTTCCAATAAAGTTAAATTCTTCATGAGATACTTTCGATGGAAACCCATAAAATAAACAGCAAACTCTCTATTTTGGTACTGAGAACTTTCCCAACTACACCCCAACCCACCTTCCCAAAATCATTTCTTAACCCCCCTCTCTCCATCTCCAGGCACATCCAATTTCTCATTATTCCCTAAACACCCCTGCTTTTCCCTTCCCTCGGGCAGCCTCTATCCATAGAGATTCACATTTCCTTTCCCCTAACCTTTCTCCACATTGAGATCTTTGAAAATTCAGCTCAAATTGCATCTCATTCTTCAGTCTGATCAGTGATCCTAGGGAGACTTAGTTCCTTTCTCTGGACATCCAATGCACTTGAAACTTATACTTATTATTGCTCAAATCATAACGTAATCATAATGTATGGTAATTATTTAATTATCTTTCTTCTCCATTACACTGTGAGTTGTACAAGTATAGACAGTCTCACTGACTTTTTAATGTATCCCAGAACTTAGCACAGAACCTTGCATGCAATATGGACCCAATAAATACATGAAGAATAAGCAAACTTACCTTTCTGTGCTTTAATAAGTTGTTTTCCAATTTCTAGTGTTACAAAGGCTGTACCATTTAGAACTATGTCAGTAATGGTCCTCCAAGCATTAGGAGAGAGTCTTTCAGTGGGAGAAATAAAATTCCCTGCCGCATTGTTTATCACAATCTATTAAATGAATAAGGCAAGGTATAAAAGCTTTTAGATGAAGAAAAACATTTTCTTTCCAGAGCTTTCATTTCTGAAATTTATTTGTCCAAATAACACAATAAAGCTGAAGTTCAGAGTTAGCTACAAAACAAAACCATGAAATCGGGTTTTTTGTGTCTGTGAAAATCTTTGTTATTAAGCAATTTCAGGATCTTTACCCCTGTGTTTAAATTAGGGTAGACTCCTATTATTAAGAAATTGATACAGCTCACACCTGTAAATCCTAATACTTTGGGAATAACATATAGGAGGATTCCTTGATGCCAGGAGTTCAAAAGCAAACTGGGCAATAGCAGATCCTCTACAAAAAAATTTTTAAAAATTAGCTGGGCATGGTGGAATGCACCTGTTATCTCAGCTACTAGGGAGGCTGAGACAGAAACCTCAGGAGTTGGGGGATGCAGTGAGCTATGATGACCTCACTCCAGTCTCAGTGACAGAGACCCTACCTCAAAAAAAGAAAAACAAAACCAAAAATGAATACACACTAATTGTATTTACCATGTGACTATTTCAAGGCATCTCAAGAAATGTCTTTTAAGTTCTGGTGTCATTTTAGTTTAATTTACCCAATGAATTCTTGGCTGGTAACCCATTCCTTTATTATCAATAAAGATTCTGCTTAGTTCTACAGCAGATTCAATATTATTGGTGTGTCTGAAAATGACTTTAACATAGAAAAATGCTCTCTTTCAGATTATTGGAAGAAATGTTTTCACTTTAATAAATGATCCAAACAACAACAAAATACCTATGCATATCTCAGGTCTTACAAGGAGACATTTAGAATTGCTTGCAGTGTTTTTCTTGTTTTATTTCTTATTTATTTATTTATTTTGAGATAGAGTTTCACTCTGCCACCCTGGGTAGAGTGCGGTGGTATCATCATAGCTCACAGTAACCTCAAACTCTTGGACTCTAGAGATTCCCTTGCCTTAGCCTGCCAAGTAGCTGGGACTACAGGTGCCCATCATGATGCCCAGCTAGTTTTTTCTATTTTTAGTCTAACTCTTGCTCAGGCTGGTCTAAAACTCATAAGCTTGACCAATCTACTCGCCTCAGCCACCTAGAGTGCTAAGATTATAGGCATGAGCCACCAAGCCCAGCCTATAGGTTTTCTTATTTGTATTGTTCTTCTCTACTGAGAGACAGAAATAAAAATTATTATGAAAAACAAAGAACGTGAATCATTTAAATTAGATACTGTACTCCTGGATAACTGCTCTTGTTATTTCAAAATTTTATTAAATAAACTAAAATCAAGTTTGTTCTATCATCAATCATAAAGGTATGTTTTAAGTATTCCTGAAAGGAGGCAGTGCAGCAGTCCTCCTAATCTGTCCCCTATTTTAAGCAGAGCTGGCATCTTTCTAGGGATAGAATACAGGTGCTTCCCAACACAGGACTTGCTCACATAGGTATTCCTTTATACATTTTGGTGGTTGTTATTGACATCAAATACCTCAGACTTTGGTCTCATCACCAATTACACTTACATCAGGATGTCCTGCGATTTTGATCAGTTCTGACACAGTGTTTTTAACCACTTCAGGATCCCTCACATCACACTGAATTGCATGAACCTATAAAAAAGAAAAAGAAAAAAGAATATGTTATAGATAATGCTAAACCAAAAGAAGAGTAAATTATTAACATTTAAAAACATTGTAATTCCTGAATCTAAATTAAATGACTGCTTTTTTTTTTTTTTTGAGACAAAGTCTCACTATGTTGCCCTAGGTAGTGTACTGTGGAGTCACAGCTCAGAGCAACCTTGAACTCTTGACTCTTGGGCTTAAGCAATTCTCCTGTCTCAGCTCCCAAGCAGCTGGGACTACAGGCACCCACCTCAATGCCCAGCTATTTTTTTGGTTACAGTTGCCGTTGTTTGTTTGGTAGGCCCAGGCTGGGTTCGAACCTGCCAGCTCTGGTATACATGGCTGGTGCCCTAGCCACTGAGCTACAGGTGCCAAGCCATGACTCTTTCGTTGTTGTTGTTGTTGCAGTTTTTGGCAGGGGTTGTACCCACCACCTCTGGTATGTGTGGCGGGAACCCTCCTCTTTGAGCCACAGGTGCCGCCTCCATGACTCCTTTTTAATATACCTTGTTTCCAGTTTGAGAAGAAATTTGTTCTGCAGTAGCTTTCAAAACATCCATCTTCCTAGAAATAAGTACATTGCATTTTGCATGAGTTCTGAAATAACTTTATATTTTTCTTTTTAATTCTGTAAGAATATAGGAAAGCTACAGCTTAAAGAAAAGCATTTCTGAGAAAGTATGAAATATATCTAAATACAAATCAATTCGAATGAATTCTTTTTCTAAAAGTCAAATTTAAATAATTTTTACATATCTGATACTAATTTATTGAATTAGTTACTTTTAACCATAGTTACTGCAGCATCATCTACTCATATATTTAAATTATTTCCTTTTTTGCTCAAGTCAGCTTTATAAAGAAAATACATTTATGGTATAATGTTAGTAGGTTTTAGACCAAATTTATGGGTTTGGATACATGCATTCAGAGCTTCACACCTTTGAAGAAACACAAAATATAAACCATGAATATAAAATTATATTAAAATATATTAAATATTAAATATATTATATATTAAAATAAGATTTTAAAACTCTTAAGAACAGCATTACATAAAAAAATATTCTGGCTAATCTGCAGCTGTTAATGACATAGAAACTGTCATTCAGATGACTACTTGATCTACCTAAAATTTTATACCATTCAAATTGGAGGAAAGGGTGGATTTTTTTGACTGGTCCCTAAACCCTCAGACTCACAAAGTTATAGGGTACCAAGGAATGATTATATAAAAAGAAATTCCTTCCACATGCTGTTACCATTCCTTTATTTATTCCTTTATCTATTTTCACAATAGATAATTGTGAAATAGCTGTCTACCTTATAGAAAATGGAAGGATTATATCCATTATTCTAGTACAAGGTTAATCATCAATTAAAGCAGTAACATAATCACTTCCACTGAAAACAAAGCAAACGTCATGTAGGTAGTACTACTTTAAAAACATATATACACACATTTTTTGAGATGGGTCTCATTACAGACTGGTGTCAAACTCCTAGACTCAAGCTATCCTCTTACCTCAACCTCCCAAGTAGCTGACTACAGGCTGAGCCCCCAAGCCTAGCTCCATTGAAGTACTTTTTAACTTTAAGTACAAAACAAGAGTTATCACTGAATTTGGGACATGTAAACATTATCAGTTCCATAACTGTCACTATGACTAACATCTCAAATGATAACTGATTTTTTCCAAGAAGATTTATTTAAATAACCTAAAAAATATTTCATTTAAGATTACATTGCAAATCAAACAGCCCTGGCAAGTGGTGTTTTCGAAACTAGAACACAGAACAGTTTCTTTAATATACTCTCCCCGAGAAACGTGCTGAGACAGACTTACCGGCTAGCTATCACACACTGAGCGCCTAAACTCGACAGAAGAGTTGTCATTCCTTTACCGAGGCCAGTGCCTCCCCCGGTGATGAACGCTACTTTTCCTTGAAAACTATTTGGTAGCAACATTGCTTTTTGAAGGGGTGGAAAGAATTTAGACTGCACAGCTTCAGTGTTTTGATATAATGTTTTCGTCCCATAACTGAAAAACTAAAAGGGGAAAAAATAAATTAATACTTGCATACATGGATTTCCAAGAAAGGGATGAATTTTTAAAATCTGAAATTTTATATTAATCTAATTCTTACACTAACATAAACTCACTGGAAACATATTGGTGCTGCACTTTATTATTCTCTTACTTTCTGAATGTTAAGTAACATTTTGGAATGGTTTTAAAAGCATGGGTTCTAGAGCTAGACTGTATAGGACAGAATATCCTCCCATATAAATTTCAGCAAGTTATTTAACCTCCCTGTTCCTCAGTTAAGGAACATCTGTAAAATGTAGATTATAAAAGAATCTTCCTCATTGGACATATGAGAATTATATGCATCAATATAAGTAAACCATCTAAAGCAGTATGTACTGCATATTATAAAGGCTAGAAGGTGTTTGCTCAAATTTAAATTTAAAGAAACTAATGTGAAGCATTTGTGTCTTTTAGCAAGAATAATTTGTGTAAAATCACATTCCATCTTTGAATCATTGAAGAAAATTATAAAAAAAAAAAACTTTATTAAATCAATTGCCTTTTCCCAAACTGTCTTCTACTCCCAAACTTTAGAACAGTTAGAAAATTTGTTTTTTGAATGGGGAGAATATCAGTACATTTTGAACTAAATATATTTGTATTGTTGTACTTTATATTTTATAGCTTATATTCACAGTACTTTTAAAAAAAATCACTGCCATTATCTCACATTTAATTGTATAAACAATCTTGAGGTTTGTTATAACAACTAACAATAGGAACTAGCAGGGGTCCTCAAACTTTTAAAACAGGGGGCCAGTTCACTGTCCCTCAGACCATTGGAGGGCTGGACTACGGCCGGGACAAGTCCGCTGCTAAGCAAGACAGGCAGCGGTGGCCGGATAAATGTCCTGGGCAGGCCGCATGTGGCCTCCCGGCTGTAGTTTGAGGAGCTTGCTTGAATGGTTACCATGTGCCAGAATGAGATATCAAATTACCAATCTTCAAAACAAGCACATGAACAGGTTTTTTTGTTTGTTTGTTTGTTTTTGGCTGGGGCCAGGTTTGAACCTGCCACCTCCATTATATGAGACCGACGCCCTACTCCTTGAGCCACAGGTGCTGCCCAAATAGGTATTATTTTTATGTCATGGGACAGGAAGGACTCGGAAAGATTAAACATGTTTTCAAGGTTGCAGAACCAAGATTTAAACACAGGCTCTACAGCCTCTTCTCATAACCATCTTGTATGTTGCTTCTGTCTGTTCTCTGATATTTTGCTGGGCTTAATGACCACACCAGGGAGGTATATGATATGCCATTAGGTCACAGTTGCAGGATTAAAATTCTTTCATTTCCTGGTAGGGTGTTCCTGTAAGCTAGCTAAGCTGCCATCAGTTGATCTAGGATATCTAGAAATTTATCCTAAGGAAATAACTAGAAATGTTAATGGCTTAGGATAAGCCTGTACATCAACTAGAAATTACACAAGAAAATGTTTATGATGTAATGTTAAATTTTACAAAAAGAAATAAATATACAACATCTCCTTAACTATAAAAATACATGCTTAGAAAAAAAGCCTACAAGAAAGTAACAATAGTAAATAGTAGATTCAATATTTGCTATATGCCAAGGTCTCTAAAGACTTCCCTCACAATAGCGCTAACCCGTGAATTCTGTTATTACTGCTATTTTACAGATAAGGACAGTGAAGCACAGAGAAGTCAATTAACTTTGACTAAAATACTAACAAGTAAAATTAAAGAGAATACAAACAGAAAGACGTCGCATGTTCATGGATCAGAACATGATTTGTGTAGTGTGTTAAAATGACCATACTGCCCAAAGCAATCTACAGATTCAATGCAATCCTTGTCAAAATAACAATGATATTCTTCACAGAAATAGAAAATAAAAATCCTAAAATGTACATAGAATCACAAAAGACTCCAAATAAACAAGTGATCCTGAGCAATAAGAATAAAGCTAAATTGCTATGAGCTGTGATGCCTCAGCACTCTACCCAGAGACAGCTTGAGGCTCTGTCTCAAAAAAAAAAAAAAAAAAGACATGAAATGAGAAAAAAAAAAAAACTCATATTTGGGTGGCACCTGTGGCTCAAGGAGTAGGGCACCAGTCCCATATATTGGAGGTGGTAGGTTCAAACCTGGCTCTAACCCAAAAAAATAATAATAATGATAATAAGCTCAAGGTATCATATTACCAGACTGAAAAGCTATAGTAACCAAAACAGTATGGTACTGGCATAAAAACAGACATACAGGCCAATGGAACAGAATAAACAACTCAGAAATTAATCCACATCTCTGCAGCCAACTGATCTTTGACAAAGGTGCCAAGAACACTCACTGAGGAAAAGACATTGTCTTTAACAAATGGTGCTTCAATAAATGGGAAAAGTGGATATTCATACACAGCTGAATAAAAATCAACCCAAGATAGATCAAAGACCTAAGGTAAGACCTGAAATGATAAAACTATCAGCAGAAAACATAAAGTAAAGGCATCAGGACATTGGTCTGGGAAAAGAATTATGAGTAAAAACTCAAAAGCAGAGACAACAAAAGCAAATATAAACAAATAGAATTATATAAAACTAAAGGCTTAAACACAGCAAGAAGAACAATCAACAGAATGAAAAGATAATGTACAGATTGGTAGAAAATACTGCAAACCACCATCGAGGGTGGATCAATATCTCAACAGAAATAAACTCAATTAAAAAACAAGCATACGGCTCAGCACCTGTGGCTCAAGTGGCTAAGGCGCCAGCCACATACATCTAAGGTGGTGGGTTCGAATCCAGCCCGGGCCCGCCAAACAACAATGATGGCTACAACCAAAAAATAGAAAATAGCTCAGCGTTGTGCCGGGTGCCTGTGGTCCCAGCTACTTGGGAGGTGGAGGCAGGAGACTCACTTGAGTCCAGGAGTTGGAAGTTGCTGTGAGCTGTGATGCCACAGCACTCTACCCAGGGGGACAGCTTGAGGCTCTGTCTCAAAAAAAAAAAAAAACAAGCATACAAGCTGAACAGATATTTCTCAAAAAAAGACACAATGACCAGTCAACAAGTATATGGGGAAAAAAAGTTAAACACCACTACTCATCAGGGAAATGCAAATCAAAGTCACAACGAGGTAACATTTCTCCTCAGGTAGGATGGCTATTGTCAAGAGGACAAAAAATAGCAGGAAAGGTGAAGCATGCCTGTAATTCCAGAACTTTGTGAGGCCAAGGCAGGAGAATCACTTTTTGAACCAGCCTGACAATAGAGCGAGACCCCATCTCTCTACAAATAGTTTTTTTCTTTTAAGTAGCTGGGCATGGTGGCACGTGTTTATAGTCCCAGCTACTCAGAAAGCTGAGACAGAAGTATTGCTTGAGCCCAGGAATTTGAGGTTGCAGTGAGCGATGATGACACAACTGTACTGTATAGCCTGGGTAACAGAGTAAGTCTCTGTCTCACAAGAAATAAATAAATACATACAAATACTGACAAGAATGTAGAGAAAAGGGAATCCGTACTCATTGTTAGTGAAAATATAAACCAGTATACCCAGTATGAAGAATAGTACAGAGATTCCTCCAAAAGACTACAGATAGGACCCCATGATTCAACAATCCCAGTACTAGGAATTTATCCAAAGGAAAGGAAAACAATCCATTAAAGAGACATCTGCAACCCCATGTTTACTGTAGCACTATTCACAATAGTCAAGATATGGAATCGACCCAGGCTAGGTGTATAACACATGAATGGATAAAATGTGGTACACTCACACAATGAAATACTATTCAGCCATAAAAACAGAATGAAATCCTGTCATTTGTGGCAACGTGGACAGATCTGGAGAATAAATGTCAAATGACAGAAAGCTAAACTCATGTTCTAACTCACATGTGGAAGCTAAAAAGAAAAAATGTGGATCTCACAGAAGTAAAAATCAGAACAGAAGGTATTAGAGGCTAGAAAGGGTAGGAAGATGGGATGGAGATTTGTTGAAGGATAGAAAATTACAGCTAGATAGGAAGAGTAAGTTTTCATGTTCTATTGCACTACAGGATGATTATAGTTAACAATAATATTAGAGTTTTAAGGCGAGAGGGAGGGGAGGGGTGAGGAGGAGGATGAGTGGAGGGAGCAGTGTTCGGTGGGACCACATCTATGGTTCATCTTATAAGGGTACACGTGAATCTTTCTAAATGTAGAATATAAATGTCTTAACACAATAAAAAGAAATAAATAAAATCAGATTCATCCTCTAAGTAAGTATACATATATATGAAAGAGTTTTGAACAGCTAGGCAGAGGCTATTGAATGTTTCCAGTACAAAGAAATGATAAATGTGTTTTAGATAATGGATATACCATTTGCTCTGATCTGATCACTATACATTATATGTACTGGCATGTACATCACTATATGCCCTATGAATATGTATAATTATTACTTGAAAAAAACTTTAAAAGGATAGATAATAACAATTAGTAAAGGCTAAAATACAAGATCTGTTTGACTTCACAGTCTACCCATTCCTTTACACCAGTGTTTTTCAACCTTTTTTATCTCATGGAACATTTGAAACTATAGTTAAAGTTCCATAGCACATTTAAATTATGTTGATTTAAAAAAAGAATAAAAAAATGGGGCGGTGCCTGTGGCTTAGTGGGTACAGCGCCGGCCCCATATACTGAGGGTGGCAGGTTTGAACCTGGCCCTGGCCAAAACTGCAACAAAAAAATAGCTGGGAGTTCTGTTAGGCGCCTGTAGTCCCAGCTACTTAAGAAGCTGAAGCAAGAGAATCGCCCTAAGCCCAGGAGTTGGAGGTTGCTGTGAGCTGTGATGCCATAGCACTCTACCAACGGTGACAGACTAAAACTCTGTCTCTAAAAAAAAAAAAAGAAAGAATATATTTACTGTGCTTTGAACTTCTTTCAAAAATAATGTAATTAATGATCTTTAAATATTTTCACAGCACACTGGTTGCTAAT